CGCTGGTGGAGCACTACAAAGACGTGCTGCAGCCAATGGCCGTGCTCGACCTGCTGCAGGTACACACACACACACACACACACACACACACATACACTCAATCTCAATAACACATCAATAACACTCTCAGGCACAGGGGGAAGAAGTACTCAGAGCTTGTACTTTAATAAAAGAACAAGAGTGTAGGAATACTCTGTTACAAGTAAAGTACTTGAGTCACACCTGGAGTAAAGTTCATAGTGACATTCATAGAAACATGCTTTTGAGCACCAGTCAATCCTCAAATTAACTACAGAGCTAAATCCCTGGTCAAATGTCATAAACGATAGGGGGACTTTTCAAGGTTTCAAGGCTTTTATTGACATGTGTACATAGCTACAGTGTAGTTATGACAACGAAAATCTTAGGTCACAGGCTCCTCCAACAGTGCAGCAACAATAAAACAGATACAAGTAAATAAAATAAAATAGAATATAGTAGGAATAGTGCAGAATAGTCTATATACAAATAATTGGAAAATTGATAGATAGAAGTTGCAAACAGATGAATTTTACGGATGTTCTTTCAAAAGTTCAGGTGTTTAACATTCTTCAGTGAGTGTTGTGTTTTGTTAAATGTTTGTTCCCTTGTATCTTGTCCATAATATCAGCTCTTGTTGCAAATGGAGCTGCTGTGATGCAAGAAACATGTCAGACTCAATCTGACAATGAAGTGTAATCGTATCGTACAGAACTTCTGTCCAAGTGTTTAAGCAGGTTCTGCAGCAGCAGATTCCTTCTAGAACAATAAAGTATTTTACTCCTTTCAGAAGAAATGTTAAGATCGTGGTGAATTGCCATTATCGGAATACAAGATGTGTGTCCTTTCTTTTGATGAAATGACAGTATTTTTTTATAAAATCAAAGGTAAGTCATTCCAGGATGTTTTGGTGCATTAAGGATTCAGGAGTTTTAGATATTTTTTTATCATGAATAGCAATTACTTCGGCTGGGATCATTGGGGTGTTGCATGCCATGTCATACCCTCCCAATGCGTAATCCTTTTTGTATTTATTCTAAGAACTCTCATTTACAGCAAACACAATCCTTCTTTACTTACTTGTATGTTGGTTAAACTGTTTGGCTATTAAGTAACTTACATTCTCTCAAAATCGACACCAAGTGACAGCTTCTCCTTGTTCACTGTCTGCTCTGCAGGCGCTCACAGACTCTGGCTGTGTGATGAGGAAGACTCTGGTGAGAGCTGCTAAACCTTCGCTGTTCGCCCGCGCTGTGAAGACGAGCAGAGAGACGAAGGCGATGATGGAGGAACCGGACTGCGTGTTCTACGAGCCGACCATCAGCTGCTTCCTGCGGCTCGGCCAGATGCTTCCCAACGAGCGACACTGGAACAGCTGCATGCCCTGAAGTCATCCTGGAGCAGAGACTTAATATGGCTTTTTAAAGATCAAGTTTAAAATGTTCTCTCCACAATCAGTTTGTTGTGATAAACCTAAAAGATTTGATTTGACTAAATGTTTCATGGCATCAGGTTATTTGACAGATTTCACTTCTGGTTTTACAGAACAGGGATTTCTTTGTACATTTATTTGTTAAAACCTTTCGTCTGTGTTCCTTTTGTTTTAACATTAATAAAAAAAATAATAATTATTTGCATTCTGACTTTGTCTTTTAGATAAGTAATCGTTTTTCACAAGAACAGCGTAAGGGCCCGTCTCCACAGGGAGATCTCCAGCGTACATAGTCGGTTTTCTGAGCGCTTCGCCTCTTTTGTTATTAATATTTCAACTTTTCAGAAAAGCGACGGTGTAGAATTTGCATGAAAAGCTTGTTTTCGGCCTCGTCGTTCCGACTGAAATGATCACAAAGACCCAAAAGGCTGGTTTTGGAGTGGATCAGCCCATGGATGTATAAAGGAAACTGAACACGGCGTTGGAGGCGGGACTCGTTCATTCCAAGTCTACATATCATATATATTATTCTGAAATGGGCCAATCTGCATAATGACTACTTTAGTATATTTTGATGCTAATACTTTTGCACTTTTACTTAAGTATCATTTTGAAATCAGGACTTTTACTTGTAGAGAGTATTCATTCTGTGTCAGTTGTGACATCATTGGGCCCAACAATACTTTTTCCCATCGACTTATTGTGACTTGTTGCTCCACTTATC